ACCCATCGGGCCTAACATTTTGCCGGTTGTTCATCGGGGATATACATTTATCAGCTATAATTTTTTCCAGAAGCAGGTAAACCTTACGTCTTTCTGAAGATCAGATGGAATTGGCGGCATATGGAAGGGTGATTCTCCCGTTTCCAGCGCCCATATCTGGTGGAGGGGTTTTGGCATCGCTTCTCCGGGTGGAGGTTGAGTAAAAACGGCCAGAAGAGCATTGCGATAATCAGAAAAATTCATGGAGAATCTGCAGGTATATCGACAGCCAACGGAGGATAGGGGGTGCCAGAGGAATCTGTTGTCGTAGTAAATGAGAGGATCAGAACTTTCGACCGCCTGAATTTGAATGTGCGAAGTTGGAACTCGGTTAAGTTCAGCAGTAGCAATAAGCAATCCAATAACTATCAGCTTGGTTAAATTTGAAGTAAATGAAATCCATTAGCAGGAAACAAATTCCAGAATAAGCAAGCTCTGGGGATTTAGGATCCAGACTTGAAAAGTATGGGATAGTCTTTAGTATCCACTCAGAAATTCTTGTACTGTTACATAGTATGGTTAATGTGTTGCTTATTTGTTTATTGCCAGTTTACAGGCAAGGTTTATGCGAGCTCAAAAGGTAACGGGAGATTGCAGATAGAAAGCGACCAGTATGGTTGCAGCTCATCTGTCCTTCAAGGCCAGTTTAATGAACACTGATCTCAAATCAGTATCAGTTTATTGAGGGAACAAGGTGGTAAACAAGGTGGTTAAATTGCATGGATAGAAAAAATGAATGGCATAATTTGCCATCAAATAAGTAAAAGAGAGATTTTTTCGTGCATGCTTTCCATAAAGTATATTTGAATTTATAAAGGCAGTCAAAATCAATAGAGAGTCAACTTTTTCGCAGCGGTCAGAAAGAAGCCCACAACAGAGTCGACATCTAAGCGCGACTGAAAATAATTGAAATTAGACTTCATGATAAACAATATAGCAACCCTACTCAATGTTGGTATGCGAGTGATTACCGGTCTTCTGCAAATTGCGGAATGTTTTATGCAGCACTCGTACTACTGTACTTCGTTGTGCACAACTTCTTGACTGAGATATTTAAGCGCAAACTGTATCAAAGGACTATTTTCAGCGCTTTATTCTTCTTTTTCTTCAAGTGTTCTACTTACTTACATGGACAGAATTTATATTAAACTCTAAAATTTGAGTCTCTTCTTTTGACACGATTTTTCGCCTCCTCGGCAGTTTCAGTTTGCTTACGAATCCGCAACTTCCGAAGCATGCAAGATAACTTTTCGTGTATCCCTATTTCCTTTTTTACTTAAAAGTTGTTTAATCTCAACTGGAGTTTGGATCAGTGCATTTGGGCAACTTCCGGGCGACCAGAGATTCCTGTAAATGTAGCCATTTTCATTGGTTACGTCGCGACCACGTCACTGTCCACCGCCTGCGCTACAGAGTGCGAATGGTAACATGCGCGTGCGGATTACATTCACATGATAGTAGACTTTCGCTGCATCTGTCGCACACGCGCTTTCACTTTCCTCAACTACTGATGCTTAGAGCCCAAACAGAGTCAAGCTGATCGGAGGCGGGATCTGGCGTGG